CAGTCCTTGCTCCTCCTCCTCCTCCTCCCCTCCTCCACAACCCCTCCCTCCCACTGTTCCTTCCGACAAGATCTCTTCCCTTCCCTTCGCTTTCTTCTCTCCTCCTCTGCCATCTGCAAGAAAGCCGCTGATTTCTCCTCCAGGAATCGCATCGACATGCAGATGGTGATGTCGAGCACGTCGGAGCATCTCGCCGCCTACTCCCGCATGGACATTTCTCTCGACACGTTCCCTTACGCCGGCACCACCACGACCGTTGAGGCTCTTCTGATGGGCGTCCCTGTCATCACCCTACAGGCACGTGGAGACAACGCGACCCACTCGCAGAACGTCGGCGTCTCGCTGCTCACACAGGTAACTCTCCCCCCTCCTCCCTCCCTCCCTCCCTCCCTCCTCCTTCCCTCCTCCTCCTCCTCCTCCTCCTTCCTTTCCACTTCCCACCCCTTCTCTCACTCCTCTCACTCCTCTCACTCCTCTCACGCATCGTCTTCATTTTCCCCTCCCTCCTTCTCCACTCTCCTCCTCCCCTGATCCTCACTGCCCTCCTCTCCTGCAGGTCGGGCTTCACGAACTGATCGCCAAGGACGAGGACGAGTACTGCGACATCGCCGTGCAGCTTGCCAGGAGCCCCGAGAGGATCCGCAGCTACCGCGACACTCTGCGCGACCGACTACTCTCCTCGCCCCTTTGCTCGGGCCAGGCGTTGATGAGCAACGTGGAGGCTGAGTACAGGAGGATGTGGACGAGGTAAGGAGCAGGAGCAGGAGAGGATGGGAGAGGAGGACAGAGGGAGGACTATTGGAGCATACAGAAGAGAGAGGAGGTGGAGGCAGAGACGCTGGCTGCGAGCGCAAGAGCAGGTGCTGACGGTGAAGTGGCAGGTTCTGCAAGGTGGAGGGAAAAGAGGAGAACGTGGAAGAGGGGAGGAGAGCAGGGAAAAGGAGGAGGAAAAGGACGGGGAGGAGGAGGAGGAGTGTATGCGAACGGTGGAGACCAAGACAGAGGAGTTGATTGCTGAAGAAGAGTCGAAGGATAGTGAGTGTTCTACACCGCAAACAGAATGAGAGGGAGGGAGGGAAGATAACGAGTTTGAACATGTCCACACACACATACTGATATTCACAAGTTAATAGTAAAGCATCTAATTTGAAGGTGAAGGAGGAGGAGGACAGAGGAGGGGAAGATGGGAAAAAGAAGGAGAGGTGGTGGAGGAGGATGAGGAGGAAGGAGGCCGGAGGGAGAGAGGGACAAGGAGTCTGGATGGGGAGGGTTCTGGAGGAAAGGACGCAGTAGGCGGCAGGGAGGAGCAAGGGAGGAGCAGACAAACGAACTGGTAGTTTCTTCTCTTTAACACATTTCTACAAGATCTTGTTGGTATATGTACAGTCTTGAAGCTTCAGTCGGAGATCAAGTCAAACTTCTTCAAGTTCCTGCCGCCCTTGCGTTACTTCCCTCCCGCTCTCCCTCCTCCTCCCCTCAACCCCCTCCTCCTCCTCCTCCTCCTCCTCCCCTCAACCCTCCTCCTCCTCCTCCCCTCAACCCCCTCCTCCTCCTCCTCCTCCTCTCATCACCAATCCTCTGCTCTCCTCTCCTCCTCTCACCCCTTAATGCTGAACAACTCTTGTTCGCACTTGAATATGTCGATCCTCCCGTTCCACATCTGTTGCCGTCTCAGCTGGCAGGGCAGGAAAGAGGACGGAGGGAGAGAGGGAGAAAGGAACAAGTAAGGAGGAGGAGGAGGAGGAGGGAGGGGAGGGAGGGGGGGAGGAGGAGGGAGGGGAGGAGGAGGAGGAGGAGGAGGGAGGAGGAGGAGTCCGAGTGGTGGGGGGTGGAGGAAGAAGGGGATAGGAGGGGGAGGAGGAGGTGCTTTCGCCGGCTTGCTAGGGGGCACGGGGAGATGCGTCTCGAAGGGGTCGAAGTCGACGGTGCTGTGGGTGCCTATCTTGCGCGTCCGGTGAGCCTCCCCTCGTGCCAGAAAAGGCGTGGGCA